TCTCCCCACCTGTTCTTACACATCTTCGAAATTCATTGTACAAGAGCTCAACCTACTTCAATCCTACATGCAGTTAATTCTTCAACTTGATGTTTTATGTGTAGATTCAAACCATACTCGAGCATACCTCAGCCATGACTCAGCATATTTCATTAAACCTCAAGTAGTGTGCAGGATTTGTTTTGTTTTTGCTAATTATTATTTTGAATTTAATTACTTTTTGTCAACATCTATTCATAATGTTGTCAAATTGGCGTGCCCACACCCACATGTTTCCCAGGGAAGACGTTGATTTATCAACAAAAGAAACTAATATCAACAAACATAAAACTCGATTGATCACTGATAGACGAATGTTATCCTGTCGGCTTCTTCGTCGCACTGAACTCTTCGCTGTTTGGTGGCGTTCATCATATTAAAGACACAACTGACCTCGCTTGACCCAATCTGGCAACCTGACGATTCATCGGTATTCTACGGGTATTATCTCTATATTCTCCCTCCCGATATTGTAACCACAAGTTCTTCTTTACCCACTGATAGTTATAATTTTCTGCCCACCATATGTTAACAATTCTGCCTGCCCACTTCCAAAAATGCATTACCCACACCCACTCCCCACAATATTAAGTCAAATTTTTCTCCCTCCCACTGATTAAATTAAATTTTGCCTGCCCACAGAAAAACGTTCGCGAACACTTTTTTGCACGAACAGCTTCGTTGACTGCACCTGCTAATATAATAATAATCCATCACGTTTATGTACGACGCTACGATTAAATACACGGGGACGAGAAAGTACGTGTATTGCGAGATTTTATTAGTAAGAATAAGAGTTTTTTATACTATTTATACTGGCATGAAAGCACAGCCACCATGCGGGAAACATCTCCCTCATACTGCCTGCGGTATGTGCTTGCAGATTTGCAGAGGGTAACGCTCGGAGCTCTTGGCCTTATGAGTTTACCAATTACGGGGATATAATAAAAGAACATTCTAAAACATACGGGTCAGTGACGACTCCAAAGATCACTACAGGCATCTACAAACATACCTTTTTCTTTAAATAGTCAAACATTTCCTTAGCCAGTTCTGGTGAATATGATGTACGAACTTTCCTATAGGACTCAGTCATTGCATCTCCACGAAAAAAATCGTGAAATTCGTCGGGTTTCGTAGGCGTAACCATGATTACAATACGTTTGCTGTAGCGTCGACTGAACTGTACTGGATGACTTATGGCTGTGACTGCGACTGCGGAGTCACGTTGAAGCATTGGTTAATTTGCATATGAATTCCGGAAGTCTCAACACGCACATAGCAATGTCGGCCTTCTTGTTTTTCCCCCTTGACGGCCCATGGACTGCCAGTTCATTGTTTCATAGCGCAGTTTTAATCTGAATATATTTTCTTTTAATTTAGTGTTCGTATTTCTAGTAAATCCTGACAATGCTGAATAAATCGTTGGATTTTTGTTGGAAAAAAAAGATTACAGAAACCCCAATCGATGGAATTATCTTTGAACGAATATGTAATTTTATGCAAACTACAATCGCCGCAACGTCGGCAGTATGCTAATCCCCCTAGTCTTAAATGTTTTCCGAGACACGCATCCTAAAAAAAGAAGCGAGAGAGTTTCCTAACCGTTCTTCTAGTAACCGTGATCAAGTTTACTACCAGCCTTTCTTTTTTCATTGTTGGTGGTGTACTTTCCTCATAAAGATCCAATCGTGTGATAGTAATAGAAGTCATTCACAATTTGCAATCAATAATTAAAATTTGCAAAAATCTATAACGTAAACACCAAATAAACTGTTATTAACGAGCATTGGACTCGGTGACAATAGTGGCGGGTTCGGAGTTTAGACAGAAAAAAAACAAATATTTGATTTATATTTTCTATTAAAATTTAGAATGCTACTTGCAGAGAGAATTGACAGTCCATTGAATATTGTGTGAAACAATAAAGGTCTTAAAGTCCTTGGCACGTTCCTCGACAACAGTCTGGGGGAAAACAGGTTGAGACGAAACATGAGTGGTGGTCAATGTACGCGACGACCTTGTCATATAGATGGCATGATATTGTAATTAATTAATTGATTGCTTATAATAAACTATTATATAGACTTGTCACGTGATTAATTCCACCTTCAGGAGTTTGCCAAATAAACACAAACTCCATGTGACACCAAAACTTTATTGAATTAATTTACAGAGATGACATAATTGATAACCTGCCGACTAAATTACCCTTTGTAAAAACTCAATACTCAATGGCGGGACATTGTACTGCCTCTATGACATACACCTAACTTTTCGTTTAGTTATACCATCGTCCCTCAAACACCGGTGTTGAGGGACGGTGGTTATTCTCCACAAAAAGACGGTGACTTGCAGTGGCATCTGCTTCACGGGCGTGTCCAACTGGAGGATATCTGAAATCCAAATCAAAGAATTAGTTGAGTGTTTATTTTGCCATGGAAGAGATGGCTTAATCCATATCTTTGTAGAATGTCAGCGACTCGATCTTTTCAATTTACAATCAATTTACAATTTTACAATGACATCATGGACCAAAATAACATAGCATTGTCACGGCACGTGCGTGGTCCACCAAAAATATATTTCTACAGGTTCAACCCATCGTCTTCGGGGTTTTATTCTAATTGTAAAAGGTTATATGTAATACACATGAATAAACTAAAAGACCTATCTATTACCGACGTTGTTAGGTGTTTAAAACGGTGCTAAACACGGAATTTCTAATGAGTACCACCTGTAAAACCTTTGTTTTTCTTTTTCTTTTTTCCCTCTAGTAAAAAATATAATAGTAATAATCGAGGATTTAAAATGATTATAAGTTTCATTTATATTGAAAGTTGCAACTTCTCTGATGTTGACACAATAATCAAATGATGTCTAAATCCTTGTTTCATTTTTCTTTATAGCATATTATGGAAGAGAATGTCAATTCGTTTTCACAGAGTAAATTACTGTTTATTTTTGTATTTATTTCCATAAGTTCTGTATTTTTTGTTTATGACTAATAAAAAAATGTCAAAAAAAGAAAGAAAAAAACAAAACACGCACAATCAACATATTTACTTCACATTTTCCGTATCAATACCACTGTAATTGGATTATCACTGGAGTAGCCAAACTATTTGTTGTAAGACTGCCATTGCATCAATATATAACGAACAACTAACTACAAACATTGAATCTCATTACTGTTTGTTTTACCAATTTTGATAAATTTCTATAATTTTGCGTTTTAAATTTGAGTACTAAAAAAACACTGAGAAATGCATTAAGGTAGCGAGAAGGGAAATTTTCACTTTTTTCTTGATTTTTCAAAAATTGATAAAACGGTTACTTTAGACCTTGATACATCATCCCAGGTTAACAAAGATCGAAATTGCGAAATAATGTTGCTCAAATTATTGTTTTAAAACGCCAACAGAAAAGACTACAACTGCCGTTGCGTGGATATTTACATAATGTTTATCTTTGGAAGGGTTTAAATGATAACATCTTATCTGTATACTCTGTTGTTGACGATTCTGATATAACGGATGATAAGCTTCCTGTCGCAAACAATGCGTGTTTATCTAACGTCCATTGTCAGCATTATTGTCAGTCGAGACTTCGTCGGAGAAACATGGTCATACAGTACTCATACAACCACAGTCTGTGATACAACCTTCCACTTTTACATCGACCGCTTATCGCTTAATTTCCGAGTACGCGGTCTTTTCCGACCGGAAACCGACCGCATTTTAATCGCGTTTTTTTTTCGCTTGCTCGCTCATTGAAAACACCGACCGCTCGGCCAAACACTGACACTGGCACATGAGTGGTCGAAATGGTGGTTTTGATAGTAAAGTGTGAACATACAACTAGTATTAACTATTATTAAGTTCTGAACGACACATCAAATCTAATAGTTGTATGACACTTGTATCGTGAAAGCAACTGAACTGGGATCTCTTGTTACGTGTTGTACTTTATTTTAATGAGACAGTTACGTGAAAAAAAACATAGGTAACTCTTAATTCCAAAAATAACGATACTAAATCCACGT